TGCTGCCAGAAGGGGTGGAGCCAGGTTCCACCTCTCCTAGACCTATTTAAGAGCTGGCTACCAGTGGGGAAGGATCTCTTCTGGAGATTGCCTCTTATGGTGTTTTGTGGGTGGGCCCAGCATAAAGGTAAGCCTTCCATTTATTCACTTTTGTTATCATAGTCTACTTTGCCTAACTCTCTTGTTTAATTTGTGATTATAATATCTTAATATCCATTGATTATACACTCCCCTTTATTTACTGCCTCAAGTATTCTCAAGGAACAAGAATTCCTCACCTATTCTTACCTCCTCCACTCCTCGAGTTTTAGCTCCAACCAATATTCTTTTTCTCAACCACAGATTATGAGCTTAATATTTGCACTGAAGTACCACATTGAAATAGATTATGGTATGTGTGTTGCATAAAAACAAAATAAACTCAGTTCACGCTCCAGAATTACACACATAACATAGGATCACCAATTAGCTTCAAAATCACTCACTTTTGCTGAAGCAATCAGCCAACCATAGAAGCATCTGTGTGGAAAAATTCACGTGCTACGAAACTACATGACAATCTCTAGTAATAATCCACATCCTTCTAAAGCTGGAGCCAGGTTATTGCTAACTAGCTTCAGGTGGAGACATGAAGAAATTAATTGCAAAGCCTTTGAAAGTTGTTCATAATTCACCTTAAATATACTTGTGAATCTGTCATGTTTAGGTAACTTACTTTTTGTATGATTTAGTTCTTGCATAAAATAGTCTAATCTCTTATCTCACTGCAAGGCAATGGTCTTTGCATATGATGGGCACAAAACTCATCCACAGCCACTAAGAAAAGGAAGAGGAAAGGTAACACAAAAGAGGCCATGAAGTTAGGAGGTAAATGTTGTGGAAAGAAAGACAAAAACAGAGTTGTGAGAGGTAGACTAGAAGCAGAAAACTATGGCACATGAAAAATCTGTCTGGAGTTATCTGGTTTGAACCAGTAGGACACACAGGTCACATCAAAGAACTTATCTTGTGGAAAGACTAAGTGCCTCTACATTTAAGAAAAGGAGCATGTGAACAAGGATTCAGGCTCCACCACTGCGTAAACCTGTGCAGATTTCCTGATAACCTTAAAACCTATTTCAGCTCTGAGATTTTTTTTTTTTAATTTCCCTGCCCCAGCAAAACACTGCTATTTTACCTCCTGTAGGACAGATAAGAGAAGCATTGCTAGATTCAACCAGTGAAATAGCTGCGGATCTTATGCGTCTTCCTTTCTGGTCCCACCTTGACTGTTGTATGCCTGATTGCTCCTCGGCAGGGAAGTCTGATGATCTCGTTTCTTTGAAGAACATTAATGCATGGAGTGCCACTGAGTACACCTACCCTGCAGAGAGCACTGCTGTGTAAAGGCACACCTGCTGGTTATAAACTAGGTAGCGTGTATGCCACTGCATAGTGTTCAGCCCAGTACAAAGCACGGTGTGAGAGACAGTAAATCCTCCTGCACTGAGCTATGTGCTCAAGCACGGGAATCGGGAGCAACAACAAAGCAAAATCTCCCCACATGCCCTCTTGCCTCTGACTGATGTATGTCTCCTTTGCCTGAAGCATCCTAAAGCTTCCACCTGTATGCCTAGATATCTTCTTTCACCATATGCCAGGTACATTTTTGCAATATGGCTACTGAGAATATATAGATTTTCTACATATCTCACAGACTCCGGGGAATTGCTCTCTGTTTGGCCTGAGATTATCAGGGCTTTGTCTCCCACCAAAGGTGCAAATAATTTCAGCAAATTGATGTGCCTAAAAGTCAGATATCTCAACCCAGCTATTTTATGGGTTCCTTCTCCATTTAATAGAAAGAGCAGTTCAGGACTTGACTGAAGGTGGAGTAAATCAATCTCTGAGATGTGGAACTTTTGGAACAGGTTGCCTAGGGAGATGGTGGATGCCCTGTCCCTGGAGACACTCAAAGTCAGGCTGGATGGGGCTTTGAGCAACCTAATAGAGCTGTAGGTGTCCCAGCTCATTACAGAGGAGTTGGAATAGAAAATCTTTAAGGGTCCCTTGTAACTGAAACAATTCTATGATTCTGTTTGTCTCACTTAACTTGTGCTTAACAACTGGCATAGTCTGAACATTCAGCCTGTAGATAGTAAAGGTTAGATAGGATATTTCATGTGGGTGTGACAAATAATCAAAATATTTCTGATGTTATCTCCATGAAACCATGCTCACACCGATGAAGTTTACAAGTTCAAAGGAGAGCACTAGCTCATATTTTTGCAAGCTATCACTTTGCTAAGGGGGGTCTGTCTTGTCTCCTACTGCGAACAAGCTTTGACTGATTTACACAGTTGAAAAAGAAAAGGCTTCAACATAATTCAACTGGACATAGTTAGACAAACATAGATGCAACCCTGGGTATAATTTTTTTTCCCCTACTTGATATGCTGAAATAAGAAGTTATTGTGTCGAGTCCAAAAGCTGTGTGTAAATTGCTGCATTGAAGTAATGCAGGCTGGCATAATCCTAGGGAACTGGGTGGAAAATTTCTTTGTTATCTAAGTAACATTTACCTACAGCATATTTTTTTTTGGTAAATTGTTCTCAAATTGATTCTTTGGTCTGGTGACTCAGATGGTAGAAATTACTGAATAGATACCAAGCAACACAATGTGTTATGTCAACATGTTAGCCCGGTGTGTTTTGTTGGTAAACAAACTTCAATTGACTATGGAAATCTACCTAATGCTACTTTCTACTCTTACCTTTCTCCATGCTTGAGGTACAAAGAAAAACTGGTATAACTTTTCCAAATCTGGTTTGTTTTGTTGTTTGTTTTTTTGTTTTTCTGACCTTAAACATTTCTGTTGTTTGGAGCACCAGTTTAAACTGTTCTTATGTCATCTAGAAAGGCATGAAAGCAAACACCTGCTCTTGTTCCTCTAAGACATATTATATTCTATTCTAAGATATATTATATTCTGTAATATTCTTTGGAAGGCAGATTTCAAACACTGACAGTCCAGAACATGGGCAACTTTTTTTATTTATTTGTTTTGGTTTTGCTATTTTCATCTTAAATGTTACTATCTAAAGCCTTTGGGGATTACTGCAATAAAAGTGTTTTATTTCTCCCTACAGATTTTGCTACAATTATTACTGTATTCATTGTATGAACTGATGATACCTGCTTAAGATAACATTTTCAAAGAACACATGTAGAACAGTATGGTTTTGCAAGGGAGAGACTATTGTTTTTTATTTCAATTGACAATACTAAATAGAGAATTTTTATTTTTATAGACCTCGCTGACAATTGACTCTTGTAAGCAAATATCTCTGCATGAATTAATTATGTTTTGCTGTCAGTGGGCATTAGATATGTTACCTGATGTTTGAAACTACGAAGGCATAAATAGACATCACAAGTCTGCAAAATGAAAATTCCTCCATAAAGTAGCTTTACTTTCTGGTAAGTTGGTTTCCATAACAACTTGAAGTCACATTATCATTTGATCAGCTCTTGGTAAGAAAACACGAAACTATTTTGGTCCAGAGAAGAAACAATTAATATATTCAGTAACAGATGCCATAGTATCTTTGGTAATATGGCCATCAAAACTGAGAAAGTCAGTCATGCTGCTGCAGTTTTGAAATAAGTGCAAGGGAAGAAAAGGAGGGTTAAGAACTAGGAATAATGACTTATTAAATGTAAAAAGCTGAATTGAGGTGTTGGGGCCAACAGGAAGAGGGACAGATATATCTGTGTCTTCAGGTGCTATAAAAGAAAGTATGAGAATAAGATTAGAGTGGGAGCATTGTTATGGAAGATCAGAAATTCACTGTTCAAAAAATAGCTTCCATTTCTAGGTTTCAGGTGAACTAACTGTCCCTTTTATGAAGTAAGATTTTGGATAAGTTCTATTTAAAATAAGACATACCTACACATCTCAGATAAGCTAAGAGAATGTACTTCTTTTATAAGTCAATTTAATTTACAAAAGGCATAAAAATCAACAAAGTTAAAATATGTCATATTATTATAGCTTCTCCACATTCTGCTTGTTCGTTTCTGATAGGTCCTCAATTATCAGATTAATATGATACACAGCACAGTGTTGTAAAAATCCCTTGAAATATCCTTGGAAAACCAAAACATCACAGAGAATATTTTGGAAAATCATCAGAGTGAGGTTCTGTAAGTAGTGCCTCGAAGTAAGATACCTATGCAGACTTTATGGTGAAAAAGGTGATTTAAATTCAGGAACCAGATTATAAAGCAAATAGTTAATTGTGCAGAACATTTTGTTACCACATTTCTCATTTCCCAACCTACATCACTTGAAAAACACCTGTCCCACAACTTACTGAGCAATTCCTACCAGGTGAAATATTGGCAGACAGTGCAAAATCTTAATCTTCAAAGCAGTCAAGACAATGAAGTTGATTTTATTGCATCAGAAATTGTCATTATACCAGGTAATAATTCTATCTACACTTTTCAACCATCTACCAAGGAAGGAAAATTCCTGGAAAATCAATATCGTGCACTCTATCTCTCACTCTATCTCTCTGTCTCTCTCTCCTTCTATCCCCACCTCTTTTCCTTCTATATGTTGACAAAGCCCAATTGATGGAAGAAAGAATTTTTGGAACTTTACTAAATGCATGACAGTTGTAATGGTTATTTTGAATACTTTATTTTTTGAATTTAAATGACCAGTTCTAGAGCTAATATCCGATATGTTTTTTTTATTCATCATGAACTGCTGTTTCCTATGTACTCATTGGAAATGTGATCTATATACAGACTGATTTGTTATCAATGATGAACTTCTGTGTCATTGGAATTCTTCCTCTGGAACTGTGAACAAACATAACGTACTTTAGAAGAGTGACTGCAAATCTAAAGCCAACACCGAGCATTAAAAAGATCAATTTTTCCATGCTCAGAGAATAATATCTTCGCATATAATAATACAATCATTGTAATTTTTTTTTTGTGGTCTAAGTAAAAATTAAGACAAATTCAGAAAAACTCACAAAATATCTATGCTGTATTTCACAAAACTCGGTATCCAAGCATGATACAGGGCTCAGTGAAATATCCTGACAGACTAACAGAACATCTTTCACTGAATGAGCTTTGGATTGAACCCAGTGGGACAATATGGCCTCAAGCCAGACATATTTTCTCCTTTCCCTTCACAACTCCTTCCCACCCCACTATGTAGAACTAGTGTTTTATTCACTTGGCACTGAGAGTATTAACCCTGCACATGAAAGAAGTAAGATGAAACCATGCTGCATAAAAATACAGCTAATTTTAGTACACTTACAGGCAATCTTTCACAGCCGTTCTTTCTTCCTTTAGATCAGGCAACAGACAGACTTGTGTACCCAAAGAGCCTTTTGCTGCTGTCCCCTTTATCTCAGTTTCTTTCAAGGAGCGTCTTGAAACATCTAACACCCCAAAAGAAGTTCTTACCCTGACCTTCTCTTAACAGAGTCAAGAAAGTGTTAAACAAACCAATATCTATAATTTCAGTGCATGCAGTCAGCAAGCGGGACTTTTAATCAGTATTTAAGTAATAAAAGACACCAACGTCACCACACAGCCACAAGTGATCTGAGTGAGCCCAGTAAACAAAACTGATAACAATCATATATTGTCTTCAGCATTCTTGAGAGATAAAGCATCACTCAGACTTTAATAAACAGGAGAAAGTAATCCTTTTTGCCAGTTTATATGACCTGAAGCCATGAAGAATAAATTACTTTTTTTAATTAAAGATTTTTATTGCCTAATGAATGAATTTAAAATGTAAACTGCTGATTGCAAAAGGAAAATGGGCTTCAGCCAAGACAGTGAAAAATTCCAGCATGTAAGAAAAATTAATGAGATCCAGTCACACGTTGCATTGACCTACTGCAATTTGAACAGGTAGTTAGCATGTTTAAAGAGAGCAGTACATTAACATAATCTGAATTATCATTATTAAAATGCTGCTCTGGGTATAATTAGTATTTCATTATCATTAATGTCATGATTTAATTTCCATCCTGGACATATTTCTTCTACCCTTGCTTCTTTTTTGTTTCCATGAAGTACGGTAAATAACAGAAAAAGTCTTTACAGTTTCTTCATAAATTTATAGAACTTAAAGTCAGAGGGAGCATTCCTAACTCCATGCTTTTTGAATGTCCTGCTATGCCATCCTGAACAAAACCCTCTCAGTTTTTTCTCTAAGATCTGTCTCTCCCAGCAGTCACAATCATCTCTGGCAAACCTAACTCCTAACTCTAGTAGCTTCAATACTTATGCCCTTGGAAGCCAGAGGGCAACAGATAAAATACTGATCTGTTGGGGTTCCAGTCCCATGAGCCTTCATATTCCTGCATCCCATTATCTACAGTGAGTAATGGTTCACCTTAGATATAAGAAACCTGGTCTCATATTTTGGTTTTGCTCACAATCTGGTTTTCACCAAGCATTTATTAAGATTTTTCTAACTGCTGGTACTTTGTAATTATATAGTTGTCATACTATCTTACCTCAGGCGTTAGACCTGCAAAACCACATAGCAAATTGTCCAAGTGGGTCAGCCTTAGGCTCATGATGTGTGGTATCACCCATAACCTGTCAGCACTTAACAACATGAGCTTCCTGTATGTGTGCTTTGAGTGATAATTAAAGCCATCACCTTCTTGAGGATCTGTATTCATTTATTTCTGTTTTCCTCCATAGAGGAAAACAGAGCCTTCAGGTTAGCTTTGGCTTTTAAACACTGAGCTGTACAATGAGCTAGAGGTGTGTGAACCAAGCTCTGAGCACCTGATTGAGCTGCAGATGTCCCTGTTTACTGCAGGAGAGTTGGATCAGATGGCCTTTAGAGGTTCTCTCCACCTCAAGCAATTCTATGACTTAATTATCTTCTCCATTTAAATTCTGTCCCTATTTCTGCTTATCTTTTGCTTCCCATTACTGGATGATGTGATTGGATTATTTTGTTTGATGTGCTGTGTGCTTCTGCTAGATTAAAACTCTCTCTTTCAGTTGGAGCCACTGATAATCTGTGACTTTATCATCTTTTTATCTTCTCTTTTATATTACATAAATTGAGTTTAATAAACTAGAAGGAAAAAAGAAGAATATAGACTTGAAACTTTTCACAAGTTTCCTTTCCAATTCTGCCTTTCTTTTTTGAACCATTTCCAGTTTATCTGGCCTCTTTTTTGAGTTATGTAACTGATGCGACTTACCAAGAGAAGTCTCATAAAAGTGATGTGCCTGACACACCTTTATTTGATTATGTTTTTCTAAGCATATCAGGCAAAACATTACTTGAACCTGTTCTTTAAGTTCCAGAGAATGCGTTCATCCCACTGAGGTCAGAGTGATGCGAAATCATTAAGAATTCATAAAGTTTTCTATAATAATATTTAGGTTAGTGTCACCAAGATCTAAAACTTTCCAAAATTTTCCAAGTTTAAACTGCGCTTTATGTTTTTCTCCTTATAATTTTGGAGCAAACCAAATTATTTTTCTCTCCTTGAGCAAGAACAACTGAAACAGGGAATTCTTTCCCACTTAAAAACTAAAAGTCATCAGAAGTTGTTTTGAAAAACCACATAGGCAAAAGATTTTGGATTAAAAACCAGTTTGGCACAGAGAATTTTTAAAACTTCCTTCTTCCAGAATAGGCCAAAATATGTTTCTGGTCCTGGAACTTAACACACTCTGGAATTAAACTTCTGGAATCTTTTTTTTTTTTTTTTCCATTATTTTCTCCCTTCTTTTGGTTAATTTATCTCAGTGAACACACATCAGTTTGAAGCTCCTTTAAAAAACAAATTAATAAATTACATAGAAAAGAACTATGAAGATACTTGAGCTGCTGACACTTAAAAGTCAGATGTCATCTTGAGCATCTCAATGCTTTAAATTCTGAGATTTAGGAATCAAGACAATGTGATCTACCTGGGTTTGCCACACAAGACCAGATGACTGTAACAGTCCCATCAGCATTCAGTATATAAAGCAAGATCCACAAACACTTGCTTTGTAGAATCTTATGTCCCTTTGGCATTTGGTGCTGAGGCTCCAGACATTCCTGTAAAGGGCAATTCACAGACTTGCTCTGGATCCTGTGCCAGAGATTCCTCCTTCTCTTCCATGACTCCAGAGGAAGCACCAGAGATGGAAAAGACAAGGGAAACATTAACTGCATCACTGTGCACAAGACCACTTCCCCCCAAAAAAACCTCTTTGTATCCATCAGCCTTTGTTTCAGGGACATCCTGAGCAACTGGGGATTCTTATAACCACTGATTATAAAAAAATCCTTTTTGTATGATTCTTCCATTAAGTCAACCAATCTCTTCTAGATCCTTGAACACTATTATTAGGCACAGAATTTCATGACAGAAGTTTCTAGATCTTAGACAATTCACATGGAGGATCAGCTTCCCTATGTTTCAGGTAATCTTGTTAACTCTCCTTTTTCCCGTGACATTCAACACACATTCCCAGCTTCTTGCCAACATGCACACACAAGTATTAGTTTACAAAGTGGCTGTAGAAACCTGTATTAACAACCCATAGCTTTCAGCCCACAGCTGTCAGTCTATTCCTTTCTGTCTGGAAGGCTTTCTGTCTAAAGGTTTTAGCCTTTAGAGCCAACAACCCAACAGACCACATTTGATGAGGCCTGCATCCATGCCAGGAACTGGAGGTGTCACTTATTCAAGGATGGCTTTGGACTCCCTTACTGATCCTGCACCTTAGGGCTGTTGTTTAATCCAGCCACACCAGCTAAGATTCTGCCCCTGCATAGAAAAGGCATTCCATAAAAGTCAAATATCATTAAAATTTACTCTATTCTGATGACCCAGTGCAACCTCAGTATTGAGAGCAACTTGCAGAATGGCTTATCACTTTCTGTACAAACATCCTAATTGTATTTTACAATGTGAGACATAGTGATCAAACTTTCAATTAATTCTGGGTGTGGTGCCTCATTTTATTTTTTTTTTTTTCAGGGAGGAGCAATAGATTTAGGTTGGACATAAAGAAAAACTGTTTTACAGTGAAGACACTGGCACAGATTGCTTTGAGAGCTGATGGATGCCCCATTCTTGCAGACATTCAAGGTCAGGATGGATGGAGCTCTGAGCACCCTGATCTGGCTGTAGATGTCCTTGTTCAATGCATGGGAATTGGACTATATGACTTTTAAAGGTCCCTTCCACCTCTAAGGGTTCTATGATTCTATTTCTATGTGACTGTATTTTTAGTTTACAGCAAAAACTTGTAGAGCTCAGGAAATGTACTTTCTTATATAAGTATTATAAATCTAAGTAATAATAAATAAATATTACATGTACCAGACAAGAAGCAAGTCTGCAAATCGTGTACTATAAACCTTATCTTGGCAAGACTATACAGGTGAAGTGCCACAAAGATTTGCAGGAAAAAAAAGTGTGCTGGTATAAACAGAATTTTAGATGTAAATTTTCATGTTACAGAGCTCTCATCATCTAATTTTGCAGTGCCCTCTCACTGTGAATAAGGCAAACAACCATGATCTACATTACAAGGAGTGGGGCTTTCCGAACAGAGGTAGTTGAGAAGCTGTACCTGGAATATCAGGTGAATTTTTGGCCTCCTTAGTTCAAGAGGGACATTGAGGGAGAGGTTCAGGAAGGTGAAGGCTCTGCAGCATCCGATCTATCTGGATATGCTGGGCAATGTGGGGTCTGGTGAAGAGAAAATGGGGAGGTGATTTATATCAGACAATACTTGAAATGTGCTTACAAAAACAAAACAAACAAATAAATAATTTTTAAAAATCAATGATTTCTTAGCAGTTATGTGATCATGCAGCCACAATGAGTTTAGTATGAAGCTGGTACTTCCACTCAGTGCTTTACTGTAATGCATGAAAGCAGATGGTATTCTGCTTTCATTCAAAGGTCTCTTTATCACACTTTGCTTTAGTGGAAATGCAAAGTGGAAAATGATACTTTTTTCTGCCTTTTCAGACCATTCCTGAGGATCATTAGACAGATCTGTCTCTTTCAGTTTTTAGGAAATGGCCTTGTAGGCTATTGACACTTCTGCAAACACATAATGTGCAGAAGTCTCCTTTAGGGAACATAACAGTTATTGCTAATAATTACCTCACAAGCAATTGAGTGAAAACTCACATAAAAAGCATATAATTTAACAGACAAAATAAATAGAATTTGCAGATGTAGTTTAATTTACTGATGGTAAATAAAATATCACACTCAATTTCTACACCAGCAAGAAAAGTTAAAAAAAATGGCAGGAATACACAGCCATTTGGCTATTTTTCTGCATATCTCTTCATCTGGGAGAGCATAACAAGTACATAATATTGCTTTTGTGGGAGTTCAGTAGCCCACACTAGCACTGAAATAGATCACAGATCATATGATACTTTTCAGGTGAAATTAGTTCACTTTCAGGTGTTCCCAGATGATACGGTTAATTATGTGCTCAGAGAGGCATGCTGTAGCCCCTTGTGACTTAAAGTCATTTATTTCTTCTCATGGGGACTGAGGCACAAGCATGTAACTCAGTATATGTATATATAGTTATATGTGTGTGTATATACATATTTAAGTCAGAAAAAGTTACTGGAAAATGCTCCCACTTCCTCTAGTGTGTATGTACTTATGGATTACAAATATTTTTGGAGCAGAGAATTTATCTCTTTCTGAACCACTTGATGCATATATTTGGGCTTATGCTGTAATAGAGTGAAATAAGTACCTCTGGAAAGCACAGAAGTTGCTGATGATTTTCAGAACTAATTGAAAAAGCTTCATTGTTTGCTCCTTGATGAAAATCAAGAAAAAGACCTTCACCCTCAATCAGTACTCAATTTAAATTGCAAAATTTCTTCTTGCTCAAAATATTACAGTTGTTTTTTTTTTTTTTTTTAATAATGTTTACACTGTTTGTACAGGAGAAGTGAATTTTCCTTGGAGATACAAGTGGATCACAGGAGAAAGTAAAAAAAACAAATCCAATACATTTTGAACATGCAGATGGAAACTATTACTATACATCCTATTTATTATAAAAGAGAGATATGCAATAAAGAAGCTGAAATAAGGCATTGCTGGATGGCTTGAATAATTTCAGTAGCATTTATTTTAATGAAAACAGTTAAATATGTCAGTGTGCCTTAAATATACATCTTGCATTTAAATATGCACAGGATGGAAAACAGGAACAATTATTTCATGAGAAATAAGACTGAATCTTATTTTAAACTGATATTCTCATTACTGCAGGCCACAAAAAAAAAAAGACTTGCAGATTTGCCTAGTTCTGTATTTCTTACCTACAAAATAAAGGGAAATTCCTTCCACCTCTTTCAGACGAATCACACACCAAAAATTTTTAATTAGAGATTTGATTATCCATTACCATGCTTTACTTTTTTTCTCTGGTTTAAATAGAGGAGTTGAAAATATTCATGAACAACAGGGTTTACAAAAACTGTCTCCAGATAATATCTCATTTCCAGACATTACCTGGGCACAGCCCCCCATCAAGTTTGCTATGGAAAAAGGTGTATGGCCTTTTCTTGGTTTGTTTGTTAGCCACTCATCAAAATCCTTCTAACTCAGCAATTGAATGATAACCCTCAGAAAACAACTCTCAGTGCAACTCTCAACCTCCGACCACCCTTTTATAACCAACATATGACCTGCTCAGTTGCACCAAGCAGATGAGAAGAACAATACAAATGGAGATGCTCAGCTCTAGGCTGTACCTACCGATGCTGGTTGCCATGGCATAAAATTTGAGTCCATTAGCAATACTGCAGAGCGATGCCACTGGAATTTTTTATGCCAAGTGTTTTAACATTGCTGAAATATTTTAATAAAGGGACAGTGTGACTTCAGAAGGCTTTTCGGCAATGAGAAGTATTCTCTGCTCCTGCTAATTCCTGCTCTCCAAGTAATTTTTAATTTCCAAGTGGGTTTCACTCCCATAGTACTAGCTGTAAAAGAAGATGGCACTGACATTACTGTTCACTTTTTTTAACTCTTCAGACCTCTTCAGCAGCACATTTACAACACTCATTTCATCCACCAGGTTACGTTATCTCAGATATAAAGCATATTTGAAACATATCAGCATGTAGCTGAGGACAGCGAGCTGCACTGTTGGTTGCATAGAAAGGAAATGGACATTGCCCAGTTCCACATTATAATATATCTTCCACTGGTCCCAGATTGGTAGTCATAGTGAAAATTAGGGCAGAATGCACTGCAGATGGAGCGTCAAACATAAATGCCTCTCTGAATGTCCTAGTTATTGGCTTGGGCTCAGCACCACATTAACTACTGAGCTGGCTCACATCTAGGCAATTTGGACAACAGGTCAAGCAAGCTCTGGACAGTTATGAAAATATTACCTGTATTTTCCCTTGATAAAATGAGTCTACTCTTCATTTAACATTCATATCATGGAGTATTCAATATACAATTATCTGAGGAGAGCCATTCTTTTCTGGGAGGTGGTCATCATCTCCCCTGATGAGACAGAAACAACAGCAGTGACGTTATAGCTGTAATACCATTGAGTGTGTCAAATTTACATGACAAGATTTTGGTAGCAGGGACTGCTTTAAGGGCAGCCTCGGTGAGAAGACCCCAGTAGCTTCCCCACGTTGTATCAGTCACTCCAGACAAAATATTCCGTTTCAAAAAGGACCCGCTACTGACCAGAGCTGAGCCCATCAGTGGTACCTCTGTGAGAGCAAATTTAAGTAAATTCAAGGAGGGGGAGCAAGAGAGTGCTATGGTGAAGCAGAGTTAGCTATCAGTATGAGACTACCACATTTTGGCATCCATGCATTTTCTTTGACTTCAGTAGGGCAAGCAGGGATCACTAAATCTGCAAATTTTGATATAACTCTATCAAAAAAAGGTTTCCAACCACTAGGGAGCAGCTTAAGGGAATTCTTAAACTTGCTGGCGTTACAAGTTTCATGCTTTCTCCTCCAGATCACCCAGGCTATTCATTTCATTAGTCATTCAGGTGAAAGAATAGAAGAGTGTGCTACATTGACATGCTCTCACATTTTGTGTTTCAGCAATCTAACCATCCTTTTCCTATATCCAGTAATAAAAGACAGAAAATGTTTTGTATTATCCATTTAACTGACAGACTTATTAATCTTCTGATGTCCCTCTTGCCAGAATGGAGATTGTCCCCTCTGAAACAGATGGACATTTTATTGTAGCTTGCATTTGACATACAGTGGCTCTTCCACCCACCCTTCCTGAATGTGACATGACTTCACTTTGCTTTACCAGAAACCCATCATTGGAGAATTCCAGGCAGGCTGGAATAGGACAGTAAGTAGCAAAGTATGACCCTGAACAAATGACTTTCAAGGGCACAAATTCTTTCCTTCTGCCTCGTTGAACATCACCCATGATTTCTCTCCTTTAAATATAAGAATCAAATGATTTGTCATTTCAGAAGAGAGCAGCAGTCCATCCAATGTATCCCCATAATCCCAACACTAACCAACTCTGAATGCATCAAGAGGGCATATAAAATCTCATAATGCATCTAATTGGACAACAATACACCATGGGGGGAAATTTCTAACTGACTTCAGATGGTGATCAGATCATTATCTGAAATATGAGAATTGACAGCCCTTGTAATTTTTCATTGCAGTCTATGTTACTGCAGCTGCTGTTCTTGGTCATGAAAACATCTATTATTGCTTTCAGGGGGACAAAATCAGTTTCGTCTTCTGCATTCATGGTTTAAAAACAGCTACCTAGTGTCACATTAAGTTTCTCTACAGATTCCTATTATGCTGTTTTGTGACTGTGTTTCATAATCATCTGAAATGCAGGGTTAAAGATTTGTGCCAATGATAGCCTAAGTTGTTTGCTGCCTTCAGAATCCTCCCAGATAGGAGAAAAATCCCTGCAAAAGAGATTAAAAAAAAAAAAAAAGCTTGAAGAAATGCAAAACTTTCCACACATAATGCTAAAGAAATCATACAATAAAACACACGCTCAGTATATGACCAAACATTTGCTCACAACAAACTGTGGAATTATACAGCCATTTCAGTTGGAGTCACACTTCTATGTTATCTGCTCCATCCTATACATTAAGCTGGAACTGATATTACTATCTTTTTTCACTTTGTTAACAGATGCCTGTCCAATCTGTTTGACTTCCTCCACTTTCAATTCCATAAAATCTACAAGGAGACTCTTATTCCCTAAGATTCATCTGAAGTTGTAACACAAGCACAAAACAATACATCTTCCACGATTTAACAGGCTTTTGATCAGACTTCAGGCTAAATTCTTGTAACAAGCCACCTTAGCAAATGAGACATCAGTGCTGCTAATACATCAAGTTAGAAGAATTTAATACATTATGTACACTCATGATGTCCTTATCACTAGGACATCAACTTATCCCCACCTTGAATCCAACAGCTCTGGAAACAAACAGTTTTCCTAAAACATTTCACACCGTCAATGGATTCCTCTCCAAACACTGTTTAAACTTCCCAGTGTTGTAAAAATGTTGGTTATGGAAATAAATCAGCTAAAGAATATAAAATCATAGAATTATTCGGACTGGAAAACACCTTAAAATCTGAAAACCTCTATAGCTTGGATTACTCCTGTATCTGCATCTGTATCTGTCTCTGTATCATGTACTGCATTTTACAGTATCAGTTCTCTATTAATATAGTCAGGGTCTAAAATGTTGAATTATTTTTTTTACTTTTCAATTTTTTTTATTTTTTATTTTTTTACAATCCCTCATCAGAATGTGATTAAAGGGTAAAGTAAGTAAAGATCTTAAAGGTTCTTTAACAGACTTTACCAAAACAACAAGATATCGGGCAGCAAACTTTTTGAGGCTTAAATTCAGAAATCAATATGTAAACATCTAAATTAACTGGACTTTTAAAAACATCGAATTACATTAAGAAAAATAATTCAGTCCCACATTTATGTTCAGTAGTTTCTCCTGTACCATTCTTTTTTTAGTCCAGACATCAAGAACAATAACTCTTTCTGGACTGTGACCTCGCAAAGATGATGTTTTCCAAGCTGAATTAATATCTTATTTTTCCTTTTTTTTTTTTTAATTTTTAAATTTTCCTGAAAATTGGTAACACTGTCTCTGAAATCAACTTAGCCTTTGAAAAATGATTTTTTTAACCACTTTTACCCCTTTTGCTTGTTTATCAACAACTACTACACAGCAGTCTCTCACCTTATGAGACCTGCAGGATCTTTCTCTTTACTTTCATCTTTATGAAACCTCGCACATTTTTTCTGCTTTAAATTAGTCCAGATGGAGAGCTGTCCCTCCACAACACCTTCTGGCAACTTGACTTGATTGGAGCAGACAGCAACCTCCCAGCTTGCTTCTGAGTGACCTGGAAGTGGTCCAGGCTGCATACTTGAGGGCTAGTTATTGCCATCCACTATACCCCCAAAATGGAACTGTTTCCCAATTTAGGGCAAATATGGGAGAAAATACTGAAGACCAGAATGGCATCAATGGTAGCCAAGTGCTTGGCACACACCACTTCTTACTGCAGTAGCCAGCCACGTTCATTTTACTGTAGAGTGTGTTAGCAAAGAGGGTATACAGTGCAGAGATCAGTCAACCTAGAAAACCTGAGATCTTAAAAACACACAACCAACATTCTTCTTACTTACAGAGTAACCTTAATGCTCACTCTCTATTTGTCTTTGCTACCAAACTAAACAAGCTAGTGATTTTTCCATGGTCCTGGGGACAACTGACAGTGCAGAAATAACATCCTCTTTCTCCTAAAACACTCATTTCTCCTAAAAGAGAGTCCAGGTCAGCTATTAGAAAGGGTGTCTGAAGCATGCTTTCCTCCAAGCTGGGCTAAAATCTAGCTAATGTGGGGCTAGAATGAAGGTTGGCATAAGTCAAAACTATGCTACAGGTTTTCTAACAATCTAACAACTTGGATAGAATCAAGCCAATGCCCAAACATCTTCCTCAATCTGTTATATTTATCAGCATGAGCGTACCTCCAGATCACGCATTCAAATCAATTTAGCACAATTAAAAATTGATTGCAAACCTGATACTTCTTTGTTGTTCTACACCCAACCAACTTTCCAACAAGATTAAGGAAACAAGCCACTTTTTGTCATCTTTGTCCTAGAAGTTACATTGGGGGACCACAAAAGAAAAAATCACAGAATCATTCAGGTTGGAAAAGACCAGCGAGATCATCAAGTACAAACATCAAGCTAATCCTACCATGTCCACTAACCCATAACCCTCAGAAAGAAAGACATGGTGAGATGTGGTTACTGTTGACACTAAATCCTTGGAACTGAGCAATAATGTCGTTGTTCTTTGCAAGCTTCCCTGCTTACACAACTACAGCAGAGTGAAGCTGTATCAGAAACTGGATGCCCCCAATGAGGCACTGGGCACACATTTCATTGTCTCATCATGCAAGTATGTCATTTCTGAGGTGCAAGAGCTGGAAGGGACAATACCAATAATCTGTTCTGACATCCTTCATTAAAGAGAAAATCAAACATTGCCCTTTACTCTGGCATTGTTGCTTTAAGGAACATAACACTATGAAATACTTCCTGTTAAAAACATGGCCAAAAGGTCTTTTACACACTAGCATTCTATTGGTTACCACTGAATTTTGCCTAGCTCTGGCTAAAATTAATTAGAAATATTTTTCAGGTTTGTATTTACATATTTTTCTCCACAAAACTAATCTTTCTCAAGAGGAATAAGAAATAATCCAGACACACACGTCTCCCCCACTGGAGAGGCTCATGAGGTTTCACAAATCCAGGTCCCCACAGATTCTTTTATTCTAAGTGATTTTTAAATAAAGAAGCTCTTTTGGAATTACTGAGCTATTCCCATTGCAACAGCAAAGGAAATCACTTAAAAGGCTGCCGTGCCACAAACAGATTTATGTTATGAGAAGGATTACTATCTCAGTGGGAATAGCTAGGCAAATAAAAATATTGATTAGTTCTTCTCTCTGAAATACCATTATACATAATTTTTCCACCATTTTGGTTTATTGAAATAAATAGCGATAACTACAACAAGAATTACACTTTCACTTTGCAAAGCTGTCTACAGAATAACTTCACAAATAACTCTTGATATGATAATGGTGTGATTAAAGCCAAAGCCACAACAAAATCGAAATAATTAAACATTCTGCTCACATACAGAATTTCACAGCTAACAAAAGGTCCTCAAAGAAATGGAGGCGCTGTGTCCCTTTCATATCAATGAAGTTACTTGTCAAAATAATTTTGGGCACTGAACCTGAGTAAATCAGGAGGTTCCATTGCTTCTAATAGGATTTGTTCCCCTCAGTTAGGCATTTATAAAAGTAATTCCACCTCAAATCATCCAGAAATCCAGTGTTTGACCTACTTTGATAGCGATGAGGGCATGAATGTTTCCATTTTTAAAGTAGCAAATTTGACACAG